TTCTACTCAGGCACTCATTACCATAATGACCAGTTTAATGACAAAAAATATTCCTTTGTAGAAATCTTACACCTAAATACATATCAAGTTGACTTACCTTATTATCCTTAATGACTATAGTGTTACTAACTTTAAGATGCAATGGGTCCAATAAACTAAACTTAATTGATTTGACAAAAAGATGAACTACCAGAATACATAGAAATCTTCTTGGACAAAAAAAAGCATTAGTTTAAAATTCATGTTAAGTTAAAAAGCACGCTCAACTGATGGAAAATGGTGATGTATTCACTCTCTTGATATCAAGTCTTAAACAAAACCTAAATTAGAGAGTGCGGTATTAGGCTCTTCAATATTCACAGAATATGTTTCTAATTTTCAAATTTATTCATGTGTTCAGCAAAAGCTTTAGTTCCATGCTTTAATGAATTGAATTCATCAAAAAAATGATAATCATATCAAAACGTTCAATATTATTTCTTAAAAGTTCTTTCATTTCATCCTAGGTTGAAATGATTTTTTTTTCTAGCCTTTCAATTTATGCTTTCATGATCACCCAACAGATTTTAGCTTGCAAATCTCATATACATTCATCAAAATTTATTTTTCATTCAAGAAAGTTATCTAAATCTAATACACAATCAACAAAAAACTTCATGATCAATTTTGCCATCACAATAGACGCTTCAATTTTAACATTTTTATGATGTCATCATCAACATCAAAATCTTAATATCAAAGATTTCCATAAGTATCATTGTTAAACATTATAATTTTCAACTTGATTATTTTCATGCTCGTAGTAGCGTTCACATTCAATTGAATTGGTGCATCATTATTATTGGAATTCACTTCAAGCTAAAAAAAAAGAACATGATTGATTTCCAATTTATTAATTCTAGTTTTAATGCAATTGATGGCATTGTAGAATTGATTTTGTTTGCTCACTAATTCAATCAATTGATTTTACAAAAATGTTAAAATTAAATCTTTCATTATTTGTTAAGTTAACATGTAATTAGCCCCACTTTTAAATGATATGTTTACACCTAATGCTTAAGTATCAATTTAATGCAGAATGACTCAAAAAGAAGCAACTAATATAACGCATATCATGGCTAAATGCTAAGAAAATAAGGATTTACATAACACAAATAGCAGCTATTTCAACAAATCACGTTTTTTTAAATGTAAACATCCAATGTTAGATTTATAGCCCAACCGGATGATGAAATGATTGAAATAATCAGAGATATTCAAAGACCAATTAGAAACATATAAAATAGCAAGAAATTGAATTTAATTTCCTCAAATTGGATTATTGCCATGCCCATTTTTAATTAAAATCAAGAACACTAATAATTCTCATGAAACAAAATCTCACATATATCAACATCCCTCAAATAGCGACAGGCTGTAGTAATAAAATTGGAAGAGTGACTCATAATAATTCCTACTAGAATAACAGGTGGAAGACTAGCAAAACTACTATATTTTACCTCATAAGTAGCATAAGCCATTTCAATAAAATAATAATAAATTATTTTGTTAATTATTGAATGTAAAATAATAGCTGCTTTACTTTATGTATCATCAATTTACTTTTTATCCTACCATATTCATTTAGCATTAAAAATATCCTTATAAATATTCAACTCATTTAACATGTGTGTGTCTAATTTTTCCTTAATCAATATATTTCAATATTGAATGATCATAATATAGAATAAATTCTTTTGTTAGTACATTATATATGTAATATTGAAGAACTTGTATAACTATATAAAACTCCCTACAAATTAGAATATTTTTTTCTTGGCTCTATTTGATTTCTACTAAAATAAACTATAAGATGTCTTTATTAGCATAAAACAATTTCAACACCTCACCTGAAGTATCATATGAAATCTCAAATACTTCATAAAAATACGTCAATTTAATCATATATATATTTGTATGCTTTTCCACAGTATTTTTAAAAGTATAATCAATTTCCACAGTATTTTTAAAAGTATAATCAATATGTCACCTTATGAAACATTCCATTTTATGATAATTAATACTTGGTATTGTATAACAGATAAGAAGCTTTTCTATATTTGGAGACTGTTTATTATTTTAGATTTACTCTATAATAATGTATTTGCCCACCTATTATAACTTGAGGGAATCTCTATAGAATTAGACACAAATTGCATACCTTACTATCCTATTAGAACAAGACTTGCTCTTGCCTTCATCAATGGCCCCATCTTTAATCACTGGGTCCCTAAAGGCAGCCAAGACCAATACCTCTGACATAACACGACAAACGGCCAACACCACATCCAGCCGTCCAAGAATAGCAAACCAAACAAATCCCTAACCTACAAGTGTAAAGCTACACAACAACACATTCCTATATATACCATGTATTACACAAAAGGCTGTAACAGAGAAGGCTCATATCAATATACAGGAAGTTCTACAATGGCTTTTACTCTGTATTCATTATTCCTTACTGCATTTACGTGTTCATGTTCTTTAGCTGTATTCTAGCTGTCTTCACTCCCCACCTTCTCTCCCCCTCTTTTCTTGACATCCAATCCTGCTCTCGCCTTTAGATCTCACCACCCTAGTAACTAGCAGACCCATAAGCTTTTTTGTAGTCATCGAGGCTTGAAACAGCTCCACATGTACTCACAAAACTTGAGAATGCAACTAGCTCCATTCATTTTGTGGGCCTTCTCTCTCTCACACTCGCTCACTCACTGGGATGAAGCAGTTGTAGTCGAAACATTAAAGCATGATAATGATCCACATAGTGTCTCTGATCTGAGTTACCTCTCAAACTCTTCTCTTTATCCCCTAAACAATATCATGGCTTATCATTCATATCTTAATGATTTTAAACCCTCCTCCACCAACAATTCCAATTTAAAAATCAATGGTACCAATTATCTTCTACCATTGAGGGCCATTCACTTCTTTTTGGTCCTCACAACAAACTCCATTACCTTAATGTCTCCAAATAGCACTCATGCCATCAAGTTCTCAAAGTGAAAAATAGATTAACAATGTTATTTGTTTAATTACTAAATAATTTTGAACCTTCCATTGCCTTCATTGTTATGTTTCAAAATCCTAGCAAAATAACATCCAACTTTCTTTGCCGCACATTATTTTAGATAAATAATATATCACATATGCACTATTAATTGTAATTGTTCTCTTTTTAGAACAATAATATGCAAATTCATGAGCATTATAGCATATTGATAGAGAAACGAGATGAGTTATTTTAGTATCCACTTTTCATGCGTTTATTATCAGCTTGTTCAAGTTCAGTTCGAGTTTGATTCAAGCTTTTTTGTTTGTATTTAAGCTTGGTTCATTTATATTAATGGGCGTTCATGTTTGGTTCATGTTCGATTCATTCCGTGCTTATCGAGCTTTAAATAAACGAACCTTTTCGAGCTATACTTCTAGATGACATTAACTTAACAAACTAGTCTTATTGAGACTTCTAACAAATAATTACATCGAGCATGTTCTTGAACATATCTAGCGAAGTTTTTGAAATTATCAAACAAGCTCATTCACAAACATATCTAATGAGTATTCTTTAGCTATAAATGAGCTCGTTCATGAACATATCTAATTAGCATTTTCGAGCTAGCAAATGAGCTCATTTACGAACAAACGATCTATGATTCATCTTATATTTGTTCCAAGAATAGGCTCTTTGTGATTTTAGGCGGATGCAGGAAGTAAAAATAAATTATTAATTTTAGACGGGATTAGTAAATATAAATTATTAAATTTAATAATATATATTTATTAAAACTCTAATATAGTTTTAACTGAGCTTCTTAGTTTAGCTCTAATCGAGCTTCTTAACAAGCTTGTTCATGAGCGTTAAATGATACTGTTTATGAACATAAACGAACCGAACGTCAAGTTATTCAAGTTCGCTTATTTAGCTTCGGGTGGAATTCAAGTGGACGAGCAGGGCGCGGGATCATATTGCGTGCTCGAGGCTAAGGGGCCGGGTAGTGCGCTTAGTGTGCACGGGCAGTAGGCGGGGTGCGAGATTCTAACTCGAGCGAGGGGTTTCGAAAGGAGCAGAACGTCGGCTGTGCGTGGGTGAGGGAATTCTTGATTCAAGATGTGTGAAGCATCCTGGTGCTGCAATGAGGAGGCGGAGCCGCCGGTCTTGGGCTCGAGCAAGCAGGAAGATGGATGTGCGGATTGCGGGTGCAGTGCAGGGCGCGGGCAGAGCAAGGTCAGGGCTGGAGAGAGGCTTCGTGCAATCAGAAGCAGGTGAAGCCTCAGGGTCAGGTGCAGGACCGGTTATGTCACGCCTAGGTGTGCACACAGGCTGCATGTGGATCCGTACAAGAGTTCATGCGGGTATGTTTAGAACTATTAAAATAATCATAAGTATATTTAGAACTATTAAAATGATCTTTTAAAAGTAAGATATGAAGAGTACCATAATCATACCTACGTTTAGAACAATTTAAATATATCAATCAAACACAAAAATGCCAATTTTATGCCTCAAAATAGAATCTTGCATTTTCAACGAGCTCACCAAGGGAAGAGTCAGCGGATTTAAGTTAAATCCCTCTCATTCTAAATTATTTCGCCACGCCACAAATAAAGACCGGAACAATTCAAGCAAAAATAACAACGATTGTAAGCAGATATCCCACAAAGTTGCAAAAGATTATTGCTTGATGCTAAAACATCATTTAAATCAATTCATCAAGAGAAAATAATAAGGGGCTCTTTACTACCAGGTTTGGGGCAGGAATTAAGGAATATTTATGGGGCTGTTCGGATGCAGGATTTGAGCTGGATTTGAGTTAAATCTTGCCAAACGCCAAAAAACAGCCGCTAAAATTTCATGGTAAGATAAATCCCCATTTCACGGGGTTTTCCATATTTTTGCCCTAAATCCCGAATTTAGGTGATTTAGCCCAAGAAGCGCGAGAAAGAGGGTGAAAGATCGTTACCTTCGCTGCGAGCTCCCCTCGAGACTTCCGATCTGACAGGAACAACGTTGTCGAAGGGGCCGAAGAAGCTTCCTTTAGCCACTCTTTCAAAACTCTACTTCACCCCGGATCACGCGAAGCCGAAGCAGCGACGACGAAATGTAGACAAAGCAAACCCAATGAATGCGTAAGGCTGTAGGAAGAGCAAAGACAAATTTTGGCTGTAGGAAGAGCAAAGACAAATTTTGGAAATTTATAGGCAATGGCAGAGAATACCGCCTCCGCCTTCGCCTTCGCCCATAATAATAAATATTAACAAATTAAATTTTATTATTATTTTATTAGTAAATCATGCATTATTTAATTAAATTAATATTAATTTATCAATATTAAAAACAAAATTAGCTTTTTAGTTCTTTCTAGTACAAAAATAAATGCAAACTAACTTTTTAGTTCTTAAACTTTTTTTTTTATTATTATTTTTTTAGTTCTTAAACTTAAAACTTGTTTTATTTTATTTTTATTCTTATCTTTAATTAGTTTTAAAAATAAAAATTAGTTCCACACCTTTACCACAAAGCAAAATTTTTAAGAAACCATCGTATGTGAAATTCAACAACTTTTTTTCTTAGGATTTTAAGCGAATCTAACATCAAATTTCTATAATTCTTCATATGCAAGTGTTAAATGAAAATTAGGTTAATATTTTGTAATTTAATTTTTGTGCAAAATATTTGTTTCATTGGATAAGATTGTGCAAGGAAAAATCTCTTAAAAAAGCTAAAAATATCAAAGTTTGCACTAGCACCGCGACGCTCCAACTAACAATGTCACAACGCCATCAATGTCTCGGTGCCACTTTGGAACAACAACGTGGTGTTATAAGTTCGAGAGTTTTGCAATTTAATCCTCCAGCATCACAGCATCAGCAGTGCCCCAGCATTATATTTGAAAACATCGTTGTGCTAAATGTTCTGTCATTTTACAAATAGTTCAATACCCCATCGCCGATATATAGTGTCATAGCAGCAATTCGCCTACCAGAGTATTGTAGCACTTGTCTTTGCTCCACACCAAATCATTGTGCTAGCGTCGCGGTGCCAAAACAATTGTAGTGCTGTGACGATGGAGTTATAGCGGTTCACTGTAAAATGTCACGTTGATTCCGCCTTATACTATGCCAGAGCCAAAATATAGCGTCGCACGAGTTCGTTATTGTAATGTTGTGTCACCAACCTTTCGAGCATCGCTTTTGGATGAGCCAAAATAAATCTAAAAAATTATGAGGCTTTTTATAGTAACATATACCGATTGAGCCCTCTATAATTTTTAGATGACCAAATAAATCTACGAAATTATGAAGCTTTTAGCCTTATAAAGATTATTGGAAAAATCTGTACCTCTAAGGCTTCAATTTTATGATGTTTTCGTATAATTTAAAGATTTTTTCCTTCTAAGGTGCTCAAAAAATCAAAGAAATTTATAAATTTTAAGACTTTCAGCTTTTTGACACTTTTGGATGGCCCGATAATATTATTTCTTTTAAGTCTTTTAGCCTTCTAAAATTTTTAGAGTGAAAACTGTCCACCACTAGCTTTACGATGAGACTATCTTTATGGGCATGCTTTCTAGTGGTTATTGTAGAAACAAGAGAAAAGATTAAGGAGAGATGGAACACGTCTAATACTGGAAAGAAGTATATTGTATTTCAATCACCGATTACATAGACTAACTTCACTTATATAGATACATTGGTTGGCATTTGGAAACTTCTAGAGAGGTGTGTGCGTGTAACTGCATTTAAGCTTTAGGAAGGCGTTGATCAGTCTAGCCGAATATGTTGCTTCTTGTCTAATATGACCCTGCAAATTGATGGGTCCTTTGTGACTGTCAATTTGGAGCGAAGAAATGTGAAGCGAGGTGTTGAGAGCGGCTTCGTAAAGATGTCGGCTATTTGATCGGTAGTGCTTATGGGTAGCAGATTGATGTGGTGTTGTTGAATGTGGTCCCGTAAGAATTAATGATCGATCTCTATATGTTTCGTGCGGGAGTGAAATACAGAGTTATTGGCCAAGGTGATAGCTGACATGTTATCGCAGTAGAGATTCGTAGGCTGGTCTTGAGGAATGCCGAACTCGGAGAGCAGCCGGCGTGTCCAGATGATGTCCGTAGTAAGGGCTGCCAATGCTCGGTATTCAGACTCCGTAGACGATCGAGCGACTGTGTGTTGTTTTCGAACCGTCCAGGATATAAGAGTTTCTCCTAAGAAGGAGCAGTAGCCGAAGGTGGATCTTCGAGAAATTGGATCGCCCGCCAAGTCCTCATCTCAAAAGGATTTGAGAGTCAAGTTAGTTTTGGTGATTGGTATGCCGAAGTCTAGCGTACCTTTGATGTAACGGAGAAGCCTTTTGAGAAGGTAAGTGTGCTGAGCCGTTGGATCGTGCATATGTTGAGAGAGAAGATTTACGTTGAACGAGATGTCAGGTCTAGTTAGTGTGAGGTATTGGAGTGACCCGGTAATTCGACGATAGATGGCCGGATCGTCGAGTAGATTGTCTTGGTGAAATTCGGACGGTAGCTTGGTGCAAGTTGGATTTGCCAGCGAATTGCAATTTGCCAGATTGACCTGATCGAGAATTTGAAGGGCATAGTGAGATTGAGACATGAAGTAGCTGTTGACATTCTTGGTGATTTTGATGCCAAGAAATTCATTTGCGGAGCACAGATGCTTCATAGAGAACTCAGAGCTGAGGCGGTCAAGAATTAGTTGAGTGCTAGCTTGATTATTGCCCATAATTAGTATGTCATTAACGTATATAAGGAGATATATTTGAACAGTAGCATTGCGAAATAGAAGAAGTGAAGGATCTGCCTTACTATGCTCAAAACCAAGAGATACGAGAAAAGAAGTAAAAGTGTTATACCATTGGCACGGAGCTTGTTTTAACCTGTAAATTGCTTTATGTAAGCGACATAGATGATTTGGTTTTGTTTGATCCTCGAAGCCCTTCGGTTGGGTCATGAATACTGTTTCTGTTAAATTGCCGTGAAGAAATGTGTTCGCAACGTCAAGTTGTTGCACGTCCCAGCCGTTGTGGATAGCGATTGCAAGAAAGATACGTATCGTCGGAAGTTTCTCTACAGGACTGAAAGTTTCCGTGTAGTGTAGCCCGAATTGTTGGTGGTTGCCGAGTGCGACTAGTCTTGTTTTGTACTTAGCCACCGTGCCGTTATGAGTAGAGATCATATCTGTCACTTGCTCTTATGAGGCTTTTTTAATAAATATTATGCCCACACTTTGTTTTCATTGAGGCTTCCTCATGGGTGTTCCTACAAGCTAGGACAAGCATTGTTATTTATTTAAAAAAACTTCATTAATAATTCAAAAAGAAACTCACCTCACAAATAAATATTTATCTTAAATATAAAATGCAATGTAAATTTTTTTAGAAATTCAAATGAGATAAGAAGTTCAATTTTTTTGGTTACTTCAGTGATGAAATCTTCCAAAATATGAAAGCAAATATGTTATGATAACACTCATACTTATGTTAATTTTCTTGCCATGACATTTGATTTCATCTATTCTGAGATTGATGAATATATGTTGCACATATAAATAATATGTTTATTTTTTTTTTATAACAAAACATAATATGTTTAAACTTTTCCTTCAATTGAATTTTTTTTTTTTTTTGGGTTGAAATCCTCTTGAATGGTGGAAGTAATTATTTAGATTGGTCTTCATCATTTAGATTTTTTTAGAAAATTTGGTCATTTAAGATATTCATATTTTGGATTTTCATTAAAAAAAAATTAGTCTTAGATGTACTAAATGGGGTAGAATTTGATAACTTGGGTTAAATTTGGTGAAATCTTCCTCTTTTTTATTATGAAGTCTTATATTTGATTGATGATTGATCAATATTTGTGCTTCTGTTTGATGAATAAGAGCAACTTACAAGTGGACGATCTCTCACTTCAATGAAAAATATATAAAGAGGATTTTTAAATTAGTCCTTAATGACCTCTCTTTAATTTTTAGTGAATTCTAGAAATATGGAAGGAGTCCTTAATGATTCTTTGGTTGACGAAACTATTCGACGAAAAGTCTAGAAAGATGGGCAAAATTATAATTAGTAGAATCAAGTACAAGATTATCCCTTGAGAGTTCTGAGAAAGGACTTACATTAGAAGCTTTTTGAATGTGCATGACGGTTCGATAATTTTTGATGTGCTTGTAGGAATACGGGGTCTCATCATAAGGATTAATTGCAAATAACTTGAATCCTATTGGAGAAGAAACCATTGCAACTTAAATTTTATATATAATTCTTTAAATATTATAAAAAATGTTATTTGATGAAGATATTAATATATTAAAATTGAGAAGAAATTGATGAAATAAGAATAATAAAATTGACAACTTCATCATAAATAAAATAACAATCAATCTCAATATCTCAATATCTTTAATGCATTCATGACAAATATCAATAAAATTAAATTAACACAATATACAACAAAGGTATTAACATAAATTAAATTCATGCCATTGAGTAATCATTAAAGTCCTCTCTCATTATGTTAACAAGTGTTAGCCACCGTTGCTTAGCTTGATTGGTGGACGAATACGGTTGAGAACCCCCAACCCATGCTCGATTCCCCTCGAGCGGCGGAGTCTCTTAAGTGGGACCCAATCACCGGGAGATTTTTTAGGTTGGTGTCTCTTCTAAGTCAACCGAGAATTAGTCATGCTACCAATCCCCCTTTCGAGGGTGACAGTGGATGGATTTCCCGTTCCCAAAAAAAAAAAAAGGACGTGTTAGTAATTTAGATCAATGAAAACTTCTTCTAATAACTTAGTACAAAAATTAGTTCCACATGAAGTCGAAATGAGCAATTCTCATTTATTGTTGCTTAAAAAAAAATCAATTAGGTAACCAAAAATTAAACAAAAACAATGACATATGTCCCATAAATTGGATATCCAAATCAATCAACATCCAAATTGGTAATAAAAGGTGAAGCTTAGGTGGAATATTAAATAAGCCATTGTAATCAATCCATATTATCAAACAATTAAAAAAATACATCAAATAGTCCTAAAGCTGAACGTCCTAAACTACTGTTTAACCCACCGGTTCGAACCAAACAGAACCACCTCGCCGGTCCGAACCCCAAACCGGTCCGAAGCGCTGACCCCCCGCTCTCTACTCACAGCTCTCTCCTCTTTCTCCCTCCTGACCACAACCTCCTCAACCTTTTCTCTCACCTCCTTCACTTCCGTCCAAAACCGGCGCTGACCATCGTCATCCATCCATCTCGCATCGGACGGCGGCCGATGCTCCTCGAGGCGGCGGAGCACGAAAACCAATTCGACTGCATCACCAAACCCAACCGGGTCGATCCGCTCCCTCACCTCCCCGAGCCGGATGGCAATCCCGTTCTCCGCGGTAATCCTATCTTCGTTCACTACTCTCATCACCTCAGCCAACAATCGGTTTCCGTCGGGCAGCTCCGGCGGTGAGAAGGCCTCGGCGAGAAATTTCGTGAGGGTGTCGAGTTCGGAGATGAGATCTCGGGTGAGAAGAGAGGAAACCCAGTCGGCGAGGTCGGAAGAGGGATTTGGGAGGATTATTCGGAGCTCGAGAAGACGGGAGTACCAACGGACACAGGAAGAAAGAGACCATGAAACCGGATCTGGACCGAGTGGGAAGGAAGAGAGGAGGAGGGGGCTGCGGGTGTGGCGGCCGGAGGCTTTAGGGAGGAGAGAAGAGAAGAGGGAGTCGAGGAGAATGAAGGGGGCGGAGCGGAGGAGGTGGTGGAGGGAAAGGAGGGATTTGAGGGCGACGGAAGGGTCGCGGGTGGAGAGAAGGCGGGAGGAGAGGGATGATGAGAGGGCTGCAGCTGCGGGGCGAGCACCGTGGCCGAATGAGAGCAGGGCGGCGATATGATGGGGATGTGGAGGGGAGGAAGGGTGGTGGTGGGAGGTGGCGCGGAGGACGGCCAGATCGGCGGCGGAGGAGGACGGAGGAGAGACGAGTGTGGCTTTGGTCAGGGAAGCTTTGTCTTTTATGACGCCGACAAAGCGCTGGAGCTTTCGGCCCATGGAGAAGAACTTCGCGACAGAGTAGAACTTTCTGTGGGTAGAGGTAGAGAAATAGATGAGAACAACGGAGTATGAGGAGATCAAATCTGGTTGGTTCTTGAGACCAGATCAAAGTTGGTCCTTTTACTTCTAGGGATTTCTTTTGGGGCTTAACCACAATTAATTTGATAGTAATTTTTTTAAATATTAAAATTTAATAAAATATATTTAGGTGAATCATACAAATATATTTTCTAATCAAAATGTTTATTGTCTAGCCTGCCGTCCTATCACTATATATCATCATGTACTAATAAGAGCGATCTCATTGTCGAGAGAAATTATTATTTACAGATACCATATTATTCAAAGACTAATTAGAACGCTCCACGTCATCCGGTACACAGCGGTACTGAGCAAAAGTGACGTGGCTCGTTCTGATTGGTCTCCGGACGCCGTCCGGTGTCCTCACATAATAACTTTTCCATTGTCAAATGAATTTTATTTGTCTTGAATTATCTTTAAACTTGATACATCATCAAGGAATTATCTTGATCGGGCGCAAATCTTGAAGCAAAATCAAGTTGGAAACTTCTAAAATTAAATCGATGACCATTTGAACTCCGATTTCAGCGAACTTATAATCGAATTGAACGTCTCAAAAATACAAACTCAACGACACCAAATTCAACTCAATCCGAGCCCAAATGGGTCAAAAATGAAGTCTCGAAGAATATTCGGAAGATTAAAACCGTAATTTGGATTACCAAATAGCATCCAAATATGACATGCTTATAGTCGAATTGAGCGGCTCAACGAGACAAATCCAAAAAGCCTAAAATCGCCATATTCTGATATCATTAAGACATTTAAATGCTCAAAAAATGGTCCATGATCTAGGGGTTTATCATCAATCGTCCATTCAAACCGCTCCCAATTTACCATTGATCTTCATCCTATTTATTGGTCATGTCACTCTCAAAAAACTATAAATTACCCCTCATTTTTCATAGAAGGGGACTCCCAGGGGGGAGAAGGAGGCCGAAGCAAGAAGAGAAGAGATGGAAGCAAGGAAGAGAATGAAGTGATTCCTCCTCAACCACCATCAGACTTGCACCTGGAAGCCAACCGACATCGGACTTCTGCCCGATCACCAACTGATGCTGGAATTAAGCAAGGAAGCAAGAATAGAAGGAAGAAAAGGAAAAGAAGAAAGAGAGCTATCTTGTCACCAGACTTTTCCTCGACCATCGCCGGACTTCCACCCAGCAGCCTTTCGATGTCGGAGTTCTGCCCGAATGGCATCTAATGCTAAAGTTATGCCCGGCCACCGACTGACATCGAACTTCTACCCAACGTTAGAATTCCACCCGTTGGCGGACTTTTGCCTGACTTCTATCTGATGCCAGACTTTTATCCATCGACAGACATCTACCCAACGCCAGACTTGCACCCTTCTCCATATTCCTATCCAACACTAAACTTCCGCTTGTCACTGGATTTCTACTCAATGCCAGACTTCTACCCGATGCTGAACTTTCGCCCGTTGTCGGACTTTTGTTGGAACTCTATTCGACACTAGACTTCTGTCCATCGACAGACTTCTACCCAACGCCGGACTTGCGCCCATCGTTGGATTCCTATCCGACACTGGATTTTCGCCCGTCGCAAGATTCCTACCCAACATTGGACTTCTGCCCAACCGCCAACTGATGCTGGATTTTTGCTCGGCTACCAACTAACGCAAGACTTTTACTCGACTGCCAACTGATGCAATTTTTTTTTTTTTGCCCAGCCACCAACTAACACCAGACTTTTGCACGTCCTCCAATTAATTTCGGACCTCCGTCGCCCTCCGATAACGGTCTTTCTGACCACCTTCTTCCACTGACTATGATCCTTTCTACTTCCATCATTAGACAATGATCCTTCCTACCTCTATCGCCCTGACCTCCATCGCCTGCTGATACGGTCATTTATACCTCATTCGCCAAACAATGGTACATCCATTGCCCACCGATTATGATCCTTTTGACCAAATGAACACGTCAACAATGATTCTTTGTATTTCCACCAGATAATGTACTCCATATGATGTAAGTCAAGCCACGGCATTTTCTGCCAATTAAGGGTCTCATTTGTAATCAACTGCAAATAATAGTTGATTCATTCAAACTGGGCTTGGCCCCATGGTTTTTACCCCCTTTAGGGTTTTCCACGTAAAATCTTGATGTCTCTTATGAATATTTCACCATCTCTTTCATCTTTCTACGTGCTGAATCTTCGTACAATGCTAAGATACTAAACTTTATATTTCTCCACCGTCGCAAATATTCCAGAATGCAACAAAAATAACATTTGGTTCAATAGGATTTTCAGAGGTGTGGTAAGTTTACATCACAATTTTGTTTTGACTTTAGTTTTATTAGTAGTTTAGATCATTTCTCTTCTTCTCCATCTCTATAATTGAGGGTTGCTTTGATATAATATAGTCGAGGGAATGAATTTTATAGAGAAAGTTGGAAGAGCCTTATGAAATTATAGATATTTTAAAAGTTCATTTATAGTTGTTCGATTGTTCTGCTTCAAGTAGAGGAGATAAGAGACCAAGAAGTTTAGTATAAATATCAGTGTTAATGTAGGGAGGCATAATTTGTGTCGACGACATATATCAGTCTTATATGTAATAACATTCATTGAGTTGTGTGATAATGGTTGAAGAAATGTACTATGATGATGGCGGTTAGAGGATGGTAATCAAGGGATAGTGTTCTAAGGTTTGCACTCTTACAACAATGATAGGAGGATAGACGTCTAGCGAAAATAATCAGAGTCTCAAAGATAGGTAACGATACTCGTAGGAATGTAATTGGTCCATAATGTTGGGAAGAACTGAGCTAGGTAATAGTGGTTGGAGGAATACAATCGATAATGATCATTAGAGGATCACAATTAGGGTGATTATGGCTGGAGATTCATAGTTGGGATACAGTAGTTGGTGAATCATAATTGAGTTGTAATCGGGAAATGACTAAAAGGTGATGGTCGGCTGGTGGTTTAATGGTGACGATCGATCGATGGTTTTATGTAAGCTATTGGATGTTGATTTGGAGGTGGTGCTTATGACTGTTGACCTCGTTTTTCTCCTGATTTGCCATCGGACGCGTTTGATTGAATTGATCGAGCCTCGTCGAGCCTGACTCGATTCGAATCAACATTAATTTTAGTTTGATTTTATTTTGTATTATTTTATTGATTTAATTTTGGGTCGAGTCGAGGCGAGTTTGAGGTGACCCGGAGTGAACCAAACCATTCTCAGTCTGAACCGGATTTCTTCCCTTGAGTGTAGTTAAATCCTAATCAAAACATGATTAATTTTCTAAGCCAATTTGAATCCCGCCGTTAGATAAAAGAAATTTGATCGGACGACCCCGATCTCCCTGCTCTCCTTCTAGTGCCCTAACCGAGGCCAAAAGGCAGGGATCACTCACGCCGCTCTCCCTCTCTCCCGAGGCTCTGGGCATTCGCACAAGCCAAAGCCTCCAGCTGAGGCGGAGTTCACTCTCTCGGTAGCTCACACACGACCGCCCCCCCGTTCTCACTCTCGGTCTCTCCTGCGGGCGAGAACTTGGTCTCGATACAAAGCTCTCGGTTTGGAGGAACACTCCTTCGGATTTTGCTCGCTCGTTTGCGTGACCCAGCCAGCCGAATCCCCTTTTTCCTTTCGTCGTTGCTGTTCGCACGGACCGAACCCGACGCTCCCAGCTCGCAGAAGCCAGGAAGGCCGAAGCCCCTTCTTCCCCATGGGTCTCTCTCCGGCATTCGCATGACCCCAGTCGGGATCGAAACTTCTCCCTCCTGTTGGATTTGCTCCCTCCTTCAGCTGACCCAGCCTCGACGGACATTGCCCTAGCCAAGGTTGACGGCGACTTCCCCCATTCGCAATGTGAGCTCCTCTTATTTCTACTTCTTCTTCTCCTTCTTTATCTTCTTCTTCTTCTTCTTACTTTTATTCTCCCTCTCCTTCCGCTTTTCTTCCCTTCTCTACTTTATTCCATTTATCCAATTAACATGTTTTAATCAATATGTGGTTGGAAGAGTTTGATTTCCACTTAGAACTAGTTTGGTAAAACAGTCCTTACCATCTATTATTGTTTAGTTTTGTTATACTTAGTTGGCCATCAAATGATGTCTTTGTGCTTTTGGAAGATGGAGATTGTTGTTGTTAACCATAGACCAATTTTGTATGTTCAAGAGTGAACAATTAATATGCCAAATTTATGCTTGATTCATGCTATATCATCTACAGTTTTAGGCGTAAATAATATAAAAATATGGGAAATCATGTTGATCTCTTATCAAAACATGCGAGTAAGGTGTTTGTGATAATGCTGTTGAAGAAATGTTGTGATATTTGGTTGGTTGTGACCAATAAGATTTGAGTTTAGAGTTTCCCAACCAAACGTTGCATGAGCATACTTTTATGTAAAACACTTCAGATTATCTTTTCTCTTCTATCTTGCTTGAGAATTTGAGAATGAGAAAGGACTTATATTCATCTTATTGATAGAAGAGGGATAGTTATTAAATTTGAAATAAGAAGTTGAGCCTATGTTTCATTCTCTCAAAGGCAAATTTCCTTTGGGATAGATTTCTTGTTTGAAGAATTGTCCAGAGAATTAATATTTCTTAAGAGTTTGCTCTGAAGCGAAATTAGAACTTATTGAGATTTTTGTACAGATTTATATTTTTAGAAATCTTGCCTTTAAAAAAAAAAAGAGATTGATGATGTCATTCTTGAGTTTGTTATGAATCTAGCAAACAAAATGTTGGGTCATGTCTGATTATGGAATTATCCTAATCGATGAAGACATGTGATAGCTTCTTATCGCATTAAGCAATGGAGAATAATTTTAGGCTTATAAGTAAAGTGTATACTAAACTTATCCATGGGTTGTTGAAGTCTGTTAGCAACTGGTAAATGTTAGAGTGGTTCTTATTATCTCTTTTACATGAATTTGAGTAATTAGAGGTAGAGAGGCATTTATTTATCTCTCTTATCAAACAAAATTGAAGAAACATGAAAAATGAATTTTTGGTATCGTTTCTTTTCTTGAAGTGAAATT